ACCATCACCACCACCACCACCACCACCATCAGCACGCAAATTCGCTCCTCACGCGGAGCACCTCGGGCGAAGCGCATCCCAGCAACGCTGCCTTCAACCAGAACCGCCATCGTCACAACCGCGTGCTCAGCCTAGGTCCTGGCGTGGGATCCAGCGTCGGCCTCGCAAGGAGCGCCTCCACCGGCTCGGGACGTCGCCGCCTCACCTTTGGCGCCCACGACAGCGTCCAGACCGCATCCGCACACACAGATGCACCGGCCCCCGCCTCGGTCGATGCCGCCAACGTCGAGGACCCTTGGAGGGAACATCTGCCCGGAGACGCCTGTGAGCCACTCATCTCGCCTGCGCTCCCGCTCGACGATGCCGCACAAGCAGAGCCTCACCCCGACGACCTGCGCAAGTCGTTGCCCAAGCTGCAGATTCCACAGTGGGACACCAAAGCGGCGCGCAGCCAAGAGGCGCGTCGCGTCCAAGCTTCGCGTCAGCGCACCGATGCGACTGGCACGGGCACAGCAAGCAAGTACCGTGCCGATGCGCTGCCTAGCCAGAGGCGCATCCGGCCCGAGCGATCAGCGGGCGGACTGGTGGCTTGGAAGGTGCGCGTTATCTTGAATGCGCTCTTCCCCTCGTTGCGCCACCTGCACTCCAAGTCGCTCTTGGGTGCCTTTGTGAGCATTGCAACCTCGCCCGCCATTCTGCTGCTCAACCTCACGCTACCGGTCGTCGACGACGACGCCGAACGAGCCGAGCGCGAGTGCGATACGGCGGAAGCCGAAGGTATCGGCGCGGTGCGTCTCGAGGGCGACGAAGCCGACTTGCAGGCTGCAGCCGGGAACGTGGACGTCGAAGACTCGGTGACGTCGCCATCTTCGCACACAGCAGCCTGGAGCGCCGAGGAGCGCGTCGAAGCGGAGGAAGACGCCGAACGCCAGGCGAATACGCAGCGTGACCGCGAGATCGCATCTGCTTTGCGCCACCTGCCGTCGCTGGGTGGATCTCCGCTCTCGCTTGGAAGCGGACCGGAGAGCGGAAGCACCCTGCGATTCCCGTCGGCGCAGTCGCCCATGCCAGTCGACTCGCAGACGCCGTATGCCGCCGGCGCGGGCGTTTCGGACGCAGCCAGCTTCACGAGCTGCACAAGCAATGCGAGTTGTGAGGCCGAGGATCAGGAGATGAGACGGTCCATCCGCCGCTTCCTCATCCTGTGTCAGTGCGTGTGCGCACCGACGTTTGTCACGTGGGCGATCGTCTCGTCGTCGGGCGGTGCGCGTCTGGGTCTGAAAGTAGGCATCGCTGCCGTGGCGGGCGCTGTGGTGGCGGGCCTGTCCTTCATGGCGATGCGGCGCAAGGATGCGGGGCATGCGCGCTACTCGGACCGGACACTGTCGACGTTTGCCATGATGCGGTGCTCGATGGGCTTCATCGTGTCGGTGATGTGGATCATGTCGATCGTCGACGAGGTGGTATCGATCCTGCAGACGGTCGGCATCATCGTGGGGCTGTCCGACGCCATCCTTGGCCTCACCGTGTTTGCGGTAGGCAACTCGCTGGGCGATCTGGTAGCCAATGTGACGATCGCGCGGCTGGGACATCCCGTGATGGCCATCAGCGCGTGCTTTGCCGGACCGATGCTCAACCTGCTGCTGGGCATCGGCATCTCGGGAACGTATCTGCTGTCGAGCTCCGGCCACAAGGGCAACTGGAGCCACGACGGTGCGCCAGGCATCTACCCGATCGACTTTAATCCGACGCTGCTCGTGTCTGGACTGGGGCTTCTCTTCATCCTGGTGGGCACGCTGATTGCGGTGCCGATGAACAACTTCCACCTCACGCGTCCGATCGGACTGTCGCTCATCGGCGCCTACGTGCTCATCATGACGCTCAACCTCCTGACCGAGGTGTTTTGGGCTCGAGGCCATTCTGTATTGTAGAGCTCGCCATGTGTCTCCACCTCTCCAATCAAATGCATTGGATTCGCCTCTCCGCGACCGACTTGGCTTGAGTTGGAGTGTGGGGTATGGTGGGAAGTGGCGGTATCGCACGAGAGAAAAAGTTGAATCTTGAAATGCTTAGGCAAGGTGGAAGGCGGATTTGTGCGCGCCGTCGTTGGTTGGCAGAGCAGCC